AGGTCTCCCTGCATGTATTTCCGGTGGGCAACTCTGAGGTCAAATTATACTCTGCTCACAGTCACGCACTGGCTGGTTTGTATTGATATTGATGACAGACAGTAACAATTATGGTGCTCTTTTTTCTCGTTCTTCAAAATGTATCTCATGGAAATCACAACAAAAAGAAATACAACTAAACCAGAAAAAACAACAAAAAAAAAACAAAATCACCTACGCACCTCAATCTTTCTTTCTACAATGTTCAAAATATCCACTTCAACTTTTGCAGCGTAGAATCCCGGTCCTTTGTAAAACCAACTTGAATTCTTCCATTGGTACCAACGAATTCTTGGCTCCAGGCTATCTTCTCCGTTACTGAAAAGATTACAGCATTCACATGCATGGTCAGGGAATTGTCTCTCGAGACCGCTGTCTACTCTTTGATGTGCTTCCGTCGTTCTACGACTAAACTCTGTCAGTTATCTATTTTTCGTTTATCGCTCCCCCTCTTCTCAGGACTACAGTATATTAGGCGCAATAGCTGACAGTATAGAAAAGGCACATTCTCTCTCCATCGATCTGCGGACATCTTTGTCTTCGGTGACTTTAAACTACCATTTACCTCTGCCTCGATACTAACGTTTTGATCGGTCAGACAAGGATAAAATGGCAGCAGATGTACAAAACGACCCGAAGACTGTCGTTTACTGGGACAGAAGATGGCTTGTGAATTTTAACGCCTCCAAAACGAAACTTCTACCTATTAATCATCTGAGTGACAACTCGCTGACTTCCATCAGCACGGCTGATGCTATCCTCCAGGAAAGTGACATTACGCCTTCTCGGGTTAACGTTCTCAACTGACATGAAGTGGAAAGAGAATATTGAATCTTTTGGTAGGTCAGCTGCTAAGAAAGTCGGTTCACTGTACCGGGCGAGACAATTTTTCTCTCCGAAATCTATCTTGCATATTTATCATTGATCCATGTTTATAATATTGCTGCCATATATGGTCCCCCCTGCTATTTACCTGGAACTGCTTGATAAGATCCAAAATAGAATCAGCAATATTATTGGTCCTGATCTTGCGGCTCAGCTTCAGTCTCTTTTCCACCGCCCTAAGGTTACATCTCTGTGCCTCTTTATATATATATATATATATATATATATATATATATATATATATATATATATATATACTATCATGGTAGCTGTGCCGATGAAATCTTCGCTATGGTACCTAGACTGTATGCGTTTAAACGCTGTACGAGACTGGCGGCGATATCTCATCAATTTACATTTGAGCTGGCTAGATGTAACCGGAAGTTCTAACTGACGGCTAATATTTCTTCTCTCGCTTGTTTAACTTCCTTCTGGCTCCATCCTTTCCAGCCAGCTTTAATCTGTAAAAATTTAAATGCAATGTTAATCACTATCTACTGTGACCCGATTACTCTTTTCTTTTTCTACTCATTACTAATGTTTCTATTCCTACCATACACGCATGTTGTTAGTAGCCCGCTGGCGGGCCTTCGATGGCCATGAAGCGCTCCTCTGGTGGCAGCTACCGGGGTGGGGTGGGGGTCTAGCAGTCCGCGAGTGGTAACATCGTCGAGACGAAAACGCCGGCGGACCGACAGAGTGCAACCAGCGGTAAACGCTAGTGGCATGCCACACAGTCGCAGATTGGTGGCTTGTGTGCATGGTAATTCCTTCACACACTGTCACCTTAATGGCTTTTCTGCCTTACACGGTGGAGTAATGTATAGCGGCTCGGATTGAGGAATTCCGATCGAATCCATTACATTCACTTAGGTGCTAATAATACCCTTGGGAAAGGTATGAAACCTCTTCTTCCCCAAGCTATGGGTAAATAGCAGGTTAGACTTGGATGGCAACTGGTCTACCGCAAAAAGAAATGACAACCTACTGCAGGAAAAAATCAGTATCGAAAGATGCATGATCGTCTAAGCGTGTATCACACATGGCAAATAACTGACTGATGGGTAATAGCGATTAAAAATAAGAAAAATTATAGCAACTTCTCTAGAAAATGAACAAAAATTAGCATACCTTCAATTTTTGGGGATGCATAAGTCTTTGAGTTTATTAACTATTTTTAAAAGGGCCACACCATCAATGGAGAGTACAAAGCCAATGATATGAATTTGGTACAAAAGTCTATCGAGACCAAACGTCTATGAAAACTGATGAAAGGTATCTTGATTTATCAGAACAATGCTCCAGCGAACAAGACTTTGGTTTCCATAACTGCTGTGTGACCGTGGCTTTGAACTGTTTCAGTACCTTCCCTAGCCTCCTGATTTGGCCACATCTAACTGTCATCATCTTCCCCAACACGAAAAACAAACAAACTTATAGCTGGGAACCATTATCGCAGTGAGTATGGCGTAACATTTTCTGCTGATGACTTCTTTTACCTACAAGATGATCAGTCTTCTTTGAATATTCTGACGTCAGTTTACCTGGAAAGAAACAATGCAGTTATTAATAAGAAGAGTTGAAATTAATACATGCAAGATTTTACAGCTCTAGCACAACACTCCTTCATATTCAGCCTATGAACCTTTCAGCCCACTTTTATATAGTTTCATTTATTTTCAAATTTTTATAGTTTTTGATAATGTTATATAATCTTTATAACCTCTACTATGCATAATTTTAGATAATATAGTGTTTTATAGTCTCTAGTCTTCTATTGTATATATAATTTTAGAGTGCTATCTACTCTGTTGCTTTTAAGGTTTTTTACACTTTATAGTATCTCAAATTTTATTCTCTTTCTTGTTCTATAATTTAACGAGTCTTATAGTCTCTTATGAAATATTCTGTTTGTTAGCTTATGTTTTAGGATCCGGTTTTATTTCATGTCCTATAGTTTCCTATTTCCTTTTTTATCTCGTATCTCATGGCCCACAATGTTCTGTAACATATATTGTCCCTATTGTCATTTAATCTACTTTCATTTTATTGCTTGTAATTGGAGTTGCACAGCATTTTACTTCAGGGGTAGTAACATAGTTCTAATAATTCTTAATCTGTATCATGGATGAGGCATTCGGTGAAGGTAATGCTACAGATTGTCGATTAATTTGTTTGCCTTCAATTAGATGTATGACTTGAAAAAATGATTAAGTCATAGTAGACATGCCACAGAATCTAACTAATTGAAAGAGTTAATATTTCTTAATCAATTCACCCCAAGCAAGGCGGGAATGCCACTAGTACGCAGAGGGTTACAGAGAGTGAAAGGGAGAAAACAGACTGAGTATAGGGAAGATTGAGAGAAGGAAAAAAGATGAACTAGATTCAAGAAGATATAAGATGGCGATAACATGACAATAAAGATGAGGACAACAGCTCAAGCAATGTAAATAATGTAAATAATTACAATACATCAACTCAGAAATATAGACAGATATTGGTTGATTTTGTTTAACGGAATATCAGCCTCTATTGCTTATTTAATACTGAAATTTAAATATTTTGAACACAGTTTTATGGCTTCAATTATAGATAAAATGAATTGTTGGTCAGTGCAGAAAATTCCCGCTCAGAATAAGAAGGGATTCTAAAAATATTTCTGATGTATGGTCAGATTTTGGGGAAGTGTATTTGGCCAAGAACTTTTCAGCACCCCCTCTTATAAATATTAATAGTCGATCATCTAATGACGAAGATTAAACTCTCCACTAGTCATGCTCTGGAATATGAGTTTGCTAACAGCTATTGCTTTATATAGAAGTTATAGATATATATGTGAATCAATGGTAGGACATGAAATGGTAGGGAAGGTAAAAAGACAAATATTGCTAAGAGCTACAAATGATATGAAGTTGTAGAGAGTTATTATAAATCCTGGTTCATAAGAAAATGAATGGATCTTGATTATAAAGAAATCTTGCTTTATATTTGAAGGGTTAGTAAATGCGTCTTTGCATTTCGTGTTAATCTTAAATCCTTAATTTTCACATGTACTGGCCATGGTATTGTTAAATACTCATATTTTACATGCACTGGCCATGGTATTCTTAAATCTTCATTTTTACATGCACTGGCCATGGTACTCTTAAATCCTCATTTTTCTCATGCACTGGCCACGGTATTCTTAAATCCTTATATTACCCATGTACTGGCCATGGTATTTTTAAATCCTCATTTTCACGTGCACTGGCTATGGTCTTCTTAAATCCCCGTTTTTCACATGTACTGGCTATGGTCTTCTTAAATCCTCATTTTCAAATGTACTGGCCATAGTATTCTTAAATCCTCATTTTCACATGCACTGGCTATAGTATTCTTCGGTAGAATAAGATCACAGTCACGAAATTGTTCGACGATATTGAATAGGAGACATTGCGTAGCAGTTCAGTATTTTCTTCTTAGCTTAATGTGCTGTTTTCCGATCCCTTTTTGCCGGAGCCATTTTCTTTAAAAAATACATTTCATTATTTCTATCCATCATCTGTTGCCATCTTCTATCTTTAGAAGACTCGGATTGAACTCCAAAAATGGACTATTTCCGCTTCAGCTTCGCTTTCCAGTCTTAATGGAATGCAAAATCGTTGACGAGGGGAACATTTTTCCAGTCTTCCGCCTGTATCCTACAGAGCCAACATCGCAAGCCTATCGCTTTACACTCTCGTTATTTTCATGTCAAATGTTCGGATGGGCACCATTCAGACCTTTTTCAGCTAGGAGACACCATTCTACCTCCATCGAGTCGAATCACCCTCATTTCCACGGTATTCCAGATGTAAGAATAAGATTCCATCAAGCAGCTTATTCACAAGAGCTGATACTCTGTAGAACAGACTCCTGCACTTTGAAACCTAAAAAAAAGCTTAACCTATTCAAGTCAAGCGTAAATAATTCTTATAATAGTCCTTATAATGTTCACTTCTTACTACACCTTCTTGTATTCACATAGCAATCCTTATTCAGTAATTCACTATATTGAGTGGCTCTCGAGCTTTGTACTTAATACAAAAAACAAAACAATTGCACTAACCAGACAGCTGAGTTTTCGCACTTGTTTGATTTTTACGATTTTTGTGTGTAATTTGGATTTGCTCCTTTTGCTCACAACTATACTTTCTGTCTTCATAAACGAATGCTTAGTTCTGTCGTTGTAATTAAATGTCCTAAACAACATATTTATTTTAAATTTCCGTCTCGTTCTGAATTTGCTCCCAACGCCATGTCCTGCTTGTATTATATGTTCCCCTCCAGGACCTGGGTAATCATGGCCCTCCCTAAATTTCTGTCTCTGGTTGCTCTAAGTAATTTTCGATCGTTCACCATCTTTATTTTCTTTGTGTTCTGCTATCCATTCAGAAAAATAAAACTCCTCCCCACTGCCGCTCATCTCTTTCCTTCAGTAACTCTTGTGTGTGTTGAATTCTCAAGGACCACTTTCTGCCTCATTACGTCTCCTAGATATGTAAACTGTCTCTTTCTGATTGTAAGTATACGTTTATTTGCTGTTACTCTTTTCCTTAATACCGCTTTGTTGCTGAGTTGTTACATCTATGGTATTGTTAGTTCATCAATAAAAACAAGATCTCCATCGCTTCTCGCATTTTCATCAACTGTGAGAAGGTAGAGAAGGAAAGTGGGAAGAAAGGACTAAACACAAAATGCAAGAAGACAGAATGAAGGATTGCCAGCAAAAGGGATAATCCAACGTGCGAATTCCAAATTAGAAATACTAAATTCAAGCAAGCACAAAAATATATGGGGGCGTGTTTTAACAGAGGACGGAAAATGTGGCATCGAAATCATTGGGATAGCAAAAGATGCCTTCCAAAAGCAAAGCAAAGTATTAAGAAATAGGAAAATCTCGGAAAATCCTGGGAAATATTTTAACAGTGGACGGAAAATATGGCACTGAAATCCGAAGTCGTATTGGGATAGCAAAAGATGCTTTCCAATCTAGAGGAAGAAGGCACTTGAAGCAAAAGAAACGTGGTTCTACAGAAAGATACTGCGAATAGTATGGGCTGAAAAACAGTGAAGTTTTACATAAAATGAAAAGAAAAAGGACGCTTATGCTTAACATCAGAAAGAAACAGTAGCAATTTCTAGGATACATATTGAGGAATGAGGGCTTGACAAATTTGATACTCACAGGGTATATTGAATGCATGGGGGTCAGAGAAAAGCAGCTCATAACACATTTAACGAGTTTGTGTAGTGGCAGAACAGAGTTCCGGAACGAAGATAAAAAGACAACATTTAGTAAAAGTTACATAAGACAGGAAATTGTGGAGGTCCATGATCGACAATGCTATAAAAGGACACAGCACAAAGAAAAAGAATAGGAGTTTTGAAACGTTTACCTACATATTGGAAATATAAATAACATAAGACTTTAGCACACTTTCTTTGTTTTTTAAAAATACTTAAAAAATACTGTCTTAATACTTTGCTTAGTTTCTTAATGTTATTTACTATTCAAATGCGCTTTTCTGCTACAGTTCCTGTCCGCGTGCTAATTGCTTCTTCTATATACCATGTCTCTTCGGGGTGTGAGCGATCATGACCACAATATTCTCTCCTTTGTACCGCTTAGTAACATTTTTTAATCATTTCAGCCCAAGTAAGCCAATAAAGCCACTAAGACGAAAAGGGTTACTGAGTGTTAGAGAATATGAGAAAAAATATTACGGAGAGAAAACAATGAAAGAACAATTAAGAAGACGGTAGGTAACGATTGACATTTCATTTGAATTTTTGAATATCAAACTTGACTGAGATGCAAAAAACCGGAAGAAGATTCTACAAGTGCGATAGAAGAATCTATTAGCATAAAACTTACGGTAACATCTAGCCATTTTAACTGTAAAAGGATGAGACATTGACACCGATCTCGTGCCGCGCTTATTTTCATAAAATTCAGTTACTATTGAAGAAAGTGATATTTATTCTGTTTAATACAGAAATATGGCACATGGCCAATGAGGGGATTGGGGAAAGGACGGCCTTCTTCTGTCTTAACTATTACTTAGCTAGCCGCAAACACTGACCCAATCGTACGAACAATATTCCTTACACCAAAACAACACATTCATACGTAACTTTCTTACTATTGAAGAAAGTTCATCAGAACGATTACAATTAAAATATTTATAGATAAGGTACAGGGAATCTTTTTTCAGCATTGTTCCAAATCCCTACCATATTACACGTGTTTCCTTAGCTCCCTTTCGCCTTCAATATGTCCCGACAGTCACATTCTCCAAGCATTCGAATTATAGACCCTAGAAATTTCAACACTGTGTCTATCAAAATATAAACGTCCGTTTCAATTTTTTTAAAGATTTTCTCGTTACTCAGAGGTTTAGTCCATAAATTTCACAGTATCCTTCTGTAGAATCAATATTCTCTCGCCTTATGTCTCTTCTTCATCTGGGATGATATTGTCAAGCATCGGTTGCCACACAGGTGAGCTTATATTCTCTAATAATTTAGTTTTTTTTTTCTGTATATCAAATTAAATTTCCCTGTTTCTTAATATTTCAATTCTCTTTTGGAAAACACTTTTCGCTCTCCCAATACGCCTTCGGATTTCGGTCTTTTTTCATCTTCTGTTTGAGCAATTCCAAGATATTTAAATGTTCATACTTGCTCCACCAATTCGTACTTTGCATTTTGAGCTGTTCCTTTTGTTAACAAGCATATATTCAGTCTCCTTACAATTGATGGCTTACTCTTTTCTTCTCTGCTTCTTTTGATGCATTGTGTAAGAATTCATGCAGTTTCCTTTCTGTGACTGCTATCATCATTGTGTCATCTGCATATGGTAGGTCACTAGGGTTGTGTCCCCCCTACCTGTACCTGTAACGGCATTCACCCGAGGTGAATCCAATATTGGAGTTTCATGGGAATTTTGGAATTCACAAGCGGTCTCCAACCCGCATGTATAGCACATGAGATTTGATTATAGTGCAGGACCATCCACACTTTTTGAAGGGCCGAGTACAGAGACTTGGTGCACTACGTGCCACAAGGTCCCCAAACGACCCTTCTATATAGTCGAATTCGACGTATGAGGGTCAAGAAGATCAGTTCCCAGGAAACCGACAGCCCAACAACAGCATATGAAATTTGATTATAGTGGTGAATGTTTCGTGCAAGACCAGCCACACTGTTTGAAAGGCACTGGTGCACTAAGTGCCACAAGGTCCCCAAACGACCCTCAGTAGGTTTTGAATTCAGAGTTGTCCTTCTCCTAGACCAGTTGCCATCCAAAGCTATTCATACCTTTCCCAAGGGTATTAGCACGTAAGTGAATGTAATAGATTCGACTGGAATTCGAACTCGGCTCTCTGATTCCTCAATCCAAGCCGCTATCCATTACTCCACCGTGCTTCCACCTAGGGGTTGTTTCCATTAATAATAAATCCTGATAGAACTTCATGATCGCCTCGCTGTTATGTTTGAATAAGTTTGTTGGGAACTCACATACTTGTCTTTCGCCCCTTTTGAAATTCATTTTCTCTTCGTATGCAGGCATATGAAGTACAGTGGAACCTCGGTTTACGAATTTAATTCGTTCCTGAAGGCCGTTTGTATCCCGAAATGTTCGGAAACCGAAACTATTTTTCCAATAGGAATAAACATAATGAAAGAAAGTCACAGTACAATACAATTGGAAAAGAAAACCACGGCACAACACACCGATGTTTACAACATGGCGGTCGATTCAGAAATTATTCCGTTCGCGTTAACTCGGTTCGTCTACGTTGTTCGAGAACAGAAATTTTGTTCGATAACTGAGACATTTTCATCTGGAATTTTCTGTTCGAAAACCGATTTGTTCAACATATGAGACGTTCGAGAACCGATGCTCCACTGTATTTTGGATTATTCTATCTTTCTCAAATAGGTCAAGCTTACCTAGCAATTCAAATAGTTCTTTGTGACGAACATTACCAAAAACATTTGCATATCCATCCCATCAAAATGACAGGTCACGTTTATTTACATATCTTAAACATGATTACATTACCTTTCAGTTGTTGAAGTCAAAGACGTTTGTTTTGCTTAGGTCTGTGTACAACAATGTAACCACATCGACCTTGCATCTGCATGTAACCCCTGTTTAACCTAGCTGCCGTTTTAATCTCAAAGACAAACCTCCAGAGCTTTCTTCGAATAATTCTTGACAAAACAAGAAAACCGTGATGCCGAGAAATAACTCTCAATTATTTGATTATCTCATTTGCTGCATTCATTCATTTGACAGCACGTTTTCTTTGGAAATTAAAAATCATGTCATGTTATATATTTTAACTGGCTTCTATTCGTTCGCCTTCACGAGTTGATTCGTTCTTTATTTCCTATTCATTCGCTCGTTTCAGACTTGATCTTCTTCGGATTTTTTTGTCTGCAAAAACCATTTTCACGTCTGTCAATGTGTGTGGGAGACGGCAAAAAGAAAAAAAAAAGAAAGAAAGGCCGGTTGATCAAATGCGTGATGAGTGAAATAAAACTGCCTATGTGCATTTGACAGCAGCGTACTGTATTAGGGGTTTGCTTTTTATTTCCTTCCGTTTTGGATTTTTTTTTTTAGAGTTTCATTATCTTCATATTCTTCTGATTTTCTTTTTTTTTTCTTTCTTCCAATTTTCCTTCGTTTAAATCATTCATTTTTTTTAATAATTTTATATTATTTTTCTTTCTTTCTCATTTCTTTCCTTTTGAAACAATTACAATTGATTAATGACTTCCTTCTGTTTCTTTTTCATATTTTATTGCTGGTCCCATTCTATTTGACTTTTTCTTTCATTTCAGGTTTTCTTTTTTTTTCTTTTTTATTTAACCTTTCTCTCGTTTTTCTTTCTTTCATTATTGCTTATTCTTTCATTTTTCTTTCTGCTTTCTGTCATTCTGTCATTCTTTCCTTTTTCTTTCTTTCAGTTATTTATTCTTTTTTCTTTCTTTCTTCGTTTCTTTCATTCTTTACTTATGTCCTGTTTTTATTCCTCTTTTTAACTTTTCTGGTATCTTTTACACTCTTTCTCTACCATTCCTTAAATAATTTTCAATTGCATACTTCATTTGCTTAATTCTGAGTTGGCTTATTTTTTTTTATATTCATTCAATACGGAGTACCTTGCTTTTTTTACTTTCTTTCCAATTTTTTCCCCTCTAACTTAACTACTTTCTTTCTTGCTTCATTTCTAAATTTTCTGTTTTCTTTCTTCATTTTTTCACTTTTTAAAATTGATTCATTTTTTCTCTTTTCTTTCTTTCTTTTTTCTTTCTAAACTGAGTACTTTTCTTTAATTTCTCCTTTATTTATTTCTCAGCTAACTGTTTCTTTATTTCATTCTAAATAGATTGCTTTTATTTTTTCTTTTATGGTAAATTTACTATAATTTCTCCTTCCATATTTTATATTCTTATTTCTTTCTGGTGTTATTTTTCTCTAAATTTCTTTCTTTTAAATAGACTACTTTTTCTTTATGGCTTGTTTGTTTGTTCATTTCATTACCACACACATGCTTTTCATTTTTGAAATTATTCGAATGTTCACTTTCGGTTAGTTTACATTTATAAATAAAAGACTTTCTTTTTTTCTTCTTCCTTTTTTTTTCCACAGAGATTTCGTTTCGACCTCACAATATCATTTATTTTTTTTTCCCACGTGTCATTTCTTTTTTTTCATTTATCAATATTTCTTTTTTTATTTTGTTACTTTCATTTCTTTCTCCCACCCACTTTTTTTTAAACACGAACTCCTTCCTTAATTTCCATCTTTTGGTTATTTATATTTTTCTTTCTTTTTTTTTTTTTCGTTTTTTTTTTTTTTAAATCGGTTCACGCTTTTCAAATTATTCTTTCCCTTTTATGTGAGTCTTCGTCCCACTTCTTCAATTCTTTCTCTCTTTGAATCGTGCTTTTATCTTCTAATCTTTTTCAATATTTCGTGTTTATTTACCTTGACTTTTCGATGTCCTCTCTCCGTATTCATCATGGCGTCCTCCCAGGATTAATCTCACAGCGTCCTTTATATGTTCTTTGTGACTCTTTAACTTACCTTTATGGCACGGCTATTTACTCAGACATAGCTTCACGTCAACACCGGACTGTAATCTGTTCCAATATCTATTCACATCGAAAACCAACTCTCTAGTGCCACCCAGCTTCCCGCCAAAACAAGCATTAGAAAGGTGGCATTCCTTAACCGCTCCCGTCAAAACAATCTCCTTCTCCCTGTATATATTCATGTGTGCGTCTCTCTCATTTATCTCCCTTTATATATATATATATATATATATATATATATATATATATATATATATATATATGAAAAAGAGATGGATGTTTTATTTATTAATTGACAAATTTATATTAATTAAACGTTATTCTATTACTTAAACTGAGGTGATGAGTCTGTTTCTCGAGTCAAAGGAAAATCTGTGTTTGAAGGCACTATTCAACTGTGCGTGGTCATTGACACGCTCTGTAGCCGCGAGGTCAAAGCCCGTAAGATCCCAAATACGGTCCTTCTAGGTGGGGAAGCGGAGTTGAATCCTGCTGGTGAGTGCATATTGTTCATTAATAAGATTCTTCTAATATTCAGGGCGCTAGACCAAAATGAACACTAATAAAATAAACGGAGTGTCTAGTCAAATGCGAGTATCCAGTAAAAATAACATTTGTTTATCTGTCATATATATATATATATATATATATATGACAGATGGCTTAAATGTTGTATATATATATATATATATATATATATATATATATATATGGCTTTTTTCTGCTTATAACGCATCGCTCTTCAGTTATGAATTGAACGCTTTGGCTGCTGATTTAGCACTTATATACATCACGTATATAATACGTTAAAAGATTCTGTTATGGGAACTTACCTATAACGATAATGGACTCTTCCTGACACTATAAATACTGCGCCTCTCAAGAGGTATAATGAATGAATGGTGTAACGAGTCGAGACAATATTAGTTCACTCTAAACCAGACGGGCAGTAATTACTAACAACTTCAACTTCCTGTACTATATTTCTGTTGCAATATATATATATATATATATATATATTCTACTCTTGTGTTCGTGTTGTTCTTCCTTGGTTCTGAACTTGGACCATAACAGTGGTGCGAGGATATTTGATCATAACAGATTCCTTTTCTCGGGCGTGCGCCGATAGTTTAGGGGTAGAGTCTCTGACTGATGCCAATCAGTCGAGGAGTCTCGATCCTGGCTTGAAGGAAATGGATGTCTAGGCACAATGATGGACTGTGATACAGCGAAACCGGCTTGTATATATATATATATTGTATATATTTATTGTATATATATATTTATACATGTTCGCTATTTTTTTTCACAGTGGTATTCACCCTGTCCACTGCACTGGGGCCACTCAAAGTAAACGGTTACAGAGTAAGAGACATATCTTATAAGAGACATATCTTATAAGGATATCTTATAAGTGACATATCTTATGAGGATTTGTGTGGGAGATAACGGTTAAACATAAATTTGAATATGTTAAGATTGTTGTGATCAAGGAAGCAACCTCTTGGGAGTCGGTTACACAAGCCAATGGTTCGGGAGAAGAACTAACATCTTACCTGAAGAGTACGAAGGGAATGAGTGCGGCTCGTTACAATATGCGTGGCGTGGTGGGTCTTAGCTGTGAATGTTAGGACTCGTGGAATTAAGGAGTGTGTTTCATCTGAACAGACTCCATGTGACGAGAAAGGAAGATTTTATTAGATTTTTATTCAATTTTTATACAGTATTTCGGTCATGAGGAATAACAGTGTGTAAAAACCATCCGTAGTGATGCCTATATGACACATTGACACAAATATATCTCCAAAACGCAACCTGCGTCCTATAAATCGAAGGTCGGTGTCGGGAGTTAGAAGTTTTGGATGTGGGGTGATCGTCGGCTTCGTTGTTACATCCGATCCTGAGCCCTATATTTAATTTAAGATTAGTGCTTCATCCTAGTTTATGATGTCATAAAGTTAGGTTTCAACGGTATTATGCATTCTAGCTTCACTTTTAATTATTACATTCTAAATAGTTACCGTAATTTGACTGTGAGGAATGTGTCAGCTTTTCATGCTTAAATATGAAATTTCAGTGGGGGGAAAACTGGGAATAGTGGGGAGAGCTATGAATTAAAATGAAAAAAAAAATTTTCCGATTTCTTCCCTCACAATTTCGGGGACAACGTCTAATGCATCGGAACGTTTTATAAGAAGCGAAATACAGTAAGCATCTCCACTTATATAGCTGGGAAATTATTAAAACCAGTGCAAAATGATTAAAAAAAAACAACATTTATTTAACTAACAAGTTTGCTTTTTTTTTTCACTGTGATGTTTCGTGTCAATGCACGGGTTAAAGATGTGGAAATATTTCACATAAATCGAGTATTATACAAGTGAGAATTTAAGATCAACTGACTCTTTTGGCATTTTTTGCTCCGGTTTTAACTCAAGGATCCTCATATAAATGGTACATAAAATTAATTTGATATATATATATATATATATATATATATATATATATATATATATATATATATATATTAGTGGAAAATATACATACATATGCAAAATATATATAAAAAATTCCCATACATGTATATTTTCAGAAAAAATTTTTCCAAGAGGAAGGATCCAGGTAGAACTCAATGTCTAGGACAGAGTAAGGATTTGCAGCTTATATTTTATATCATTAAAAATCACTTTATACAAAGAATTAAATAGCAGTGTTAATGTGATTAATGGAGAAATCACTTCGCTAACAAAACTTAATGAGACGTTAACTTACTATCAATTTTTTGAATAATAAAATCCTTATATTCGAGTTATTGACGGATGGAAGACACTTGACAAGTACTTTCGACAATTTCCAATTGTTATCTTCAGAGCTCAATTTTTTTCCCATATATACGTAAACAATAAAACGAAATATGGTTAGACCGAAATTATGCTATTTACTGAGAGTTAAATATATGTTTTGGCGCATGCAATAACGCGACGCTAGAGTTCTTCTTCAAATTGATTAAGTGAGAATTTTATTTGAATTTTGAAAATATATAAATTCACGAAATTTTCTTCTTATACGTATTTATCTGTTTAAGTGAAATGAATTTAAGTATAATCCAATTAGTAGAGTTAAAATATTCTTTTGTATAAATTGTTTTTTTATGATATATATATATATATATATATATATATATATATATATATATATATATACACGAATCAACAATGGTTTCTCCTCTATAGCCTCTAGAATAATTTGAAATATAGCCGTTGAGATAATACAACAGACTTTGCTATGCATAATGTACCCTTGACCTGCGTATAGAAATAGTTTGAGCCCAAATTTAGTAAACTTGATATGAAGATTGCCAACTATGAAACAGGATCGTTCTTGGTTGGTCCAAGGTCGAATTTACTGATATTACTTATAAACTATTTTGTTTTATATATATATATATCAATTTTCCATGAATCTCTGTCCTGGCCGAATGGTTAGGCACGTCAAGCTAAATGACGGTTCCGTATAGGATGCAGGTTCGAATGTATTGAAACAAGGAAAAGGTACACAATTTTAAGGACGAAGATTTTCTATGAAAATTTCTCGGACATTCAGGCTTCCCGGTAAATGTTATTTAATACTGTTTATTATAAACAGAGCATTTATGTTAAATACTTGTATCTATAAAAGAATGTTAAACGTCAAGCTAAATGACGGTTCCGTATATAAAAAGATGTCTTTAATAAATTGTCGGACTTTGTCCATTTGTCTTAATAATATATATATATATATATATATATATATGCACACATATGAAAATATATATATATATATAGATAGATAGATAGATAGATAGATAGATAGATAGATCACACATGTAGTGCTGGTGGTAAAACAACTCGCTGTAATATAACATAGCTCTTAAGTATATATTAATAAATATAGATATATTCTCCCTAGCTTTTAGCACGACTCGAATATCAATTTAACATGTTCACTTTAATTAAAGATTCGTCAGAGATTGAGAGAAAACAGAGAAAAAGACAGAAGCACTGGTATTTTCAATTCTTCTTTGGGTCAGTTCTCATTGGTCAGTCACGTATTTGATAAATTTCGACATTTGATTTGGTGTTATGTTCATTTCTCTTCCTAATTAGATCTCCGATTGTATTGGAGCTGGTTGTAACAATCCTAGTATTCAGTCAGTTATGTGCTATGCTTGATACACGCTTAGGTGATCATGTATCTTTTGATACATGACTGGCGAGACATATTTTTTTCACGCAGTAGCTTGCCATATCTTTCCAAGGCTATAGAACCAGTCTGCCGTGCTATTTAATTTAATACCTTTAATAACTTTCCCAAGGGTATTAGCAGGTAAGCGAATGTAATGGATTCGACTAGAATTCGAACTCGGCTCTCCGATTCCTCAATCCGCTATACATTACTCCACCGTTACTCTACCGTGCCTCCGATCCTAGTACAGTGTAACCCGTATATAAGAGAGTTGTCGGGACCGGAGAAGAAGTCTCTTATATCCGAGTTTGGTCTATTATATATACATTAACACAGGCTCTAATTTGGGACCAGAGAAAACCTCTCTTATATCCGGGTTTCTCTTATATCCGGGTCTCTTATATCCGCGTTACACTGTATTAGGGATGACTAATTTGTTTTTCGAGTTTAGTAGAAATAATGTTGGAGGGGAGGATTATGAATTTTCCGTATTTTTTGTTAGAGTTGTTATTGTCTGTTTTTTTTTTTTTTGCTTTTGTACATTTTGTAAGCCCGTTCTTTAGCGTTGAGGATGAAAATTTTCTCAATAGATATTTCTACTTCATTTAGATATTCCGGGCTACATCTGCTAAGGACTATGATTAGTCCGCATTTTAATCTTTAGTTGTGGTGGGAATAGAAGTTGATTAGGTCGTTTTCGTTTGTGGGTTTACGATAAACTTTAAAATCTAATTTATTATTGTTGCGTTTAAGACACACACACACACACACACACACATATATATATATATGTGTGTGTGTGTGTGTGTGTGTGTGAGAGAGAGAGAGAGAGAGAGAGTGTGTGTGTGTGTGTGTGCATGCGTGCAAGTGGACATTGTGCTCAACACCAAGCGGCGACAGTCTGTTCTCTGCTTGAACGCAAACTTCATGCCATGTTTTGTGTTTTAGCTTGACCATTTCTATACCCTAGTTAATGGTGTATTATGGGTAGTTTTGCAATGCCCGTTTGTAGTATAGACAGATACAATAATAGTAACACCTTCAGACAGTATTCAGCCAGAGGCTGCTAATTTATACTTATATATGTTTCCTTTACCTGTCACGTGATCTAATTATTTCAAGATGAGGTCGACTGTGCTTGCTCACAGGAGATCCGTGTTCAAATCCAAATGTCGGTAGTGACACTTTATTCCATTATGACTGTTAATAAGATTCATTATATTATTATAACGGTTATTGAGCAGGTAGATGTTAATGGTTATATTTCAACATATTCTAGAGCCAAGTGAGTATAAATAATTCTGGATCCGAATACGCTTGTCTGTAGCTATTGTTCGTTAATTTTTCTTCCTTATTTATAATTATCCGTAATTATTTTTGTTGACTATTATTATTTATGGGCTTGGCCGAGTGGTTAGAACATTCACATTCTGAACATGAGACCTGGTTTCGAATCTCACCACGGTCGATTTGTCAGGTTCCTACGGAACTGTAACAAACAAACAGATAAAAGCAGAAAAAAAATCATTATAGAAATTTTCAAAAATATGGGATTCAATACACACAAAAAGACAAATCTAAAAGAAGCAGATTTCCTGGATTTCACACTCAGCCTAAGAAAAGGTAGATATCAACCATAAGACAAACCGCTTTACATACAGGCACCTACCAACCATCCGACGGACTGGAGGTGTCGATCTCAGCATGCGTCACCTTTGGAAACTGCCGGTAAACCGTGCCACCGGTTGACCCAAGCCTTGTGAGTGAAAATTGTGTAGACGGTACTCTTGGGGGCCCGTCGATAGCTTTTCTTGCAGGAAGCTATCAAGTCACGTGAGCGTGACGGCCTTGTTCAAGTTGTTGATCACGCTAGATAACACTCTCTTTCCCAGAAACTGTAACTAAGGTCTGCTCAGCAGAGTTGCAGTATAAACCACAGGTGGGCTCTGTGGGTGTTGAATAGATGCAAATGCACCGGAGAAATGTTCTGCTAGCCGCCCTATCCTCGAATACAAGTGACCAGCTATACATACATACATACATACATATATACCTACATACATACATACCTACATACATATTATTATTGCATTTACATTTGTTCATGCATGCATTCTTAGTTTCTTGATTTGTTTATTATTTATTTAATTTGTTTATTTATTTAATTATTTTTTTATTCTTTTTATATTTTTCGGTTTTTGATTGTCTTATTTGTGAGTTCAAAGTATTGGTTTTGTCTCAGTATTTTATATTATCTACGTTTTATATACTGCATGTATTTTCATTTTTCATAGTGGTATTATACAAGGTATTTGTTATTATTTTTCGATTTTTAAATAACATAGTAAAAAATTGTCTTCGTTTTTTAATTTTGAGATCTGATCGTTTCTTTAGCAGTGTCTGGGAAAGTGATTAGAACTATTTTTCTTCTCCATTTGCTGTTTTGGAATTTATTGTTGTAAGCTGATGCTGTTTTACTCCTTTACCGTGATATTTTTGGTGTAATTTGATTTTTGTTTATAATTTCCCATATATTTTTAGAAATCATTGTGCTGCTTGCGTATTTACTATTTGTAAAAGATATTTGTGAGTGTATTTTCTGTTTCCAGGGTACTTCAGTTTCTCCAATGTATATTTTGTCTTCGTTATTTGCTGAATTTAGAGTGGCCTGATATATTATATTGTTGTGCAAGCAATTGCCATTTAAGGAACATCCCATATTTGCTCTGCAGTTACATGTGATTTTGACTTGTGCGGGCGGTGTGCTGTTGGTTATTTTTGTGTTGTGCTTTTTGTGTTCTGTTCTCAGTGCAAGCGTCGTTGACTTTTACCGTGTTTCTGTTGAATATCTTTTGGAGAGTGCTTGATAGTGTAATGAATATTTTTTCTACACTTATTTTTACGTTTTTGTTGCATGATTATTTTCCTGTTTTTTATTTTACTGTGTGATGTGTAAATGGGTGCTGCCAAAATTCGACTATCTTTTAGGGCAATTTCATAATGTTTTTTTCTTTTTTTTTTTTGGCTTCGTTGAAGATGGTTTCATTGGAAGAATTGTCAGAACACCTGCAATGAACTGATTGTGACTTCTACTTGATAATATTGGCGGATGGTTGGTAGGTGCCTGTATGTAATATCTTATGGTTGATATCTGCCTTTTCTTAGGTTGGGTGTGAAATCCAGAAAATCTGCTTCTTTTAGATTTGTCTTTGTGTGTGTATTGAATCCCATATTTTTGAAAATTTCTATGATGATTTTTTTCTGCTTTTATCTGTTTGTTTGTTACAGTTTCTTAAGATAATGAGACTATCGTCCCTGTCTATGCCAATATAATTTTTATCTATTATTTTTCTTAGCTCACTTAATAAATACATGCACGCAAATTCTGCACTATCAAAACTTTCTTTTATAATATCAAAGTTTCCTTCTTTCTTTAACCACCTTCGTTATCAAATAATAGTGGTTTTCGGTAGTGCTTAATGGTTTTCCTCCGTTTTTGTTTATTTGTATCTGTTCTTGAGTTAACGAGATGACCTTATCTAGCATAAGTTTGGTTATAGAAGGTTCATAGCAATCTTTTATGTCTCGTTGTATAAATTAGCAATTACGTTAGGTTTTTAAGTTGCGGAACCTGGCTATAGTTTTTTGTTTGTGTTTTTTCATTTGTTTACTCCTAATTTCGTGCTTAGTTCTAAATCAATTATTTCTTGTATTAATTTAATTATTTTACATGGTTCTTTTATTGCTGGATTTATGAGTCTTCGTGTTGGGTTTATTTTGAAGTTTTCTTTGTGGTCTTTTAATATAATCAATGTTTACGAATTCGGGATTTTGAGCATTTTATTCGGTCGTCTAGATTTAATGTTTGGGAAGTTCTTCTATGTTAATATCGTATTCTGTAATTTTGGTTTTTTTTCTGTATGCTTTGATTATGTTGTCCTTAAGTAGTTTGTTGGTGTTGGGTCTAGTTCATATCGTTTCTATTTTTATTCGCTGTAATCAATACGTTAGGTGAATTGTTTATTTTAGTTATATATACTTTTATTTGTTTTTCAGGAAAGAATTTGATTGTTTATGAAATTTTATGTTTCTTACTAAATTAGTCAAGTCTCTATCGAGATGTTTACATATTTTTTTTAATTTTTATTCTCTTTTTTATATTTCATCTGTGTTATTGAAGACATTTCATTTTGACTATTGGAGTTTCATAGTTTGACTATTGGAGTTTCAGGTTTTCTTTTCTGTTAGCTTTTATTTCATCTTTCATCTTCTTTGACTTTTCCTTCGTTCTTTTTCTCCTTCTTTCTTCAATGTTTTAAAAAAGAAATTTTCTTATTTTCTCTTTTCGGTTTTTTCATATTTTTTTATCTTATCATCTTCAATATTTTTTTATGTCTCTCTTGTTGACTTTTTTGCTTGATTCTCAATTCTTTTCTTTCTTTCTTTCTTTATTTATTTCATTCATTCTGTTCCATTTAATTTTTCATTGTTTTTTTTTTTTATTTTCTTTCATTATTTACCCGTTTTCTGGATATCATCAATTTGATTAGATTTTTTTGGTTGTTTCTTTCTTTTTGATTTTACATTTTCTTTTTCTTTTACTATTTACTTGTTTTTTAATTCGTTTTTACTTTTCTTCTTTCCTTTCTTTCTTTCTTTCTTTCTTGTTTTTAGTTCATAATGTGATTCGTTTAGTCTTCTTTCTTGCTTACCTTTTTTGCGCATTTGATTTTTTTATTTCGTTTTTATTTATCTTTCTTCCTTTCTTTTTTCTTTCTTTCTTTTTTCTTTCTTTCTTTTCCATTTAATTGTCCATTGTCTTTTTTAGTTTCTTTATTTTCCCGTTTTCTGCATATCATCATTTTTATTAGATTTTTTATATTTCTTTCTTTCTTTTTTGATTTTACATTTTCTTTTTCTTTTACTATTACGTTCTTTCTTTCTTTCTTTTTAGTTTTAGTTTACAAAACACTCTTTATCTGCTTCGTTTTGTCTTCTTGCTTGCTTGCCTTTCTTTTTTAGGCATTTGATTTTGTATTTCTTTTTCTTTATTTTTCTTTCTCCCTTTCTTACTTCCTTCCTTACTTCCTCCATGCCTTCTTTCCTTTCTTTCCTTTCTTTTCTTTCTTTCTTTCTTTCTTTAGTTTATAATGTTTTTTTTAATTCTCTTTCACTCTTTATCTGCTTCGTTTTGTCTTCTTTCTTGCTTGCCTTTCATTTTTTACGCATTTGATTTTTTTATTTCTTTTTCTTTATTTTTCTTTCTCCCTTTCTTCCTTCTTTCTTTCTTTCTTTCTTTCTTTCTTTCTTCTGGATTGTTTATTTTCTTCTTATTCTTCTTATCATTTAATCTCTCTCTTTTTCTTTCTTCATCTCCCTTTGTCTGTACTGTATGTCTCTTTATGTCTTTTTTAGCTTTCTTTCCTTCTAAAACGTTCAAATGAAAGACGGCAAATGTCGCTAATTCTTCATCTGCTTCAACACAACCCTTGCTATGATTTAGTCCAACAAGGGAACTATAATGTCCATATAATAGCGGTGCATGACGTAGGAAACCTCAATTGTACGCACACAATACACATGAAGTGGTGCTCTGAATGGGCTCGATCGGCCCTCCGAAAAGGCGGCTTTTGTTTGCAAGAGAATGGAAGAACGGAGACAAATACACGCCATTCAGTTGAAATCGACGAATAGTGAATTGATATTGTTGTTCGTGGTAATGAAATCAACACGAGGCTATTCAGCTCGATTCTCTGATTGTTCCGTAAGAAAATTGAAAAATCAGACAGTATGCGCTAGGGAAGGACAGCACTGCTTTGACTGTCATTTGAAAAGAATCGCGTTCACTCTTTACAACGGGTTTCTTTCTTAGCTAAATAAGTTGCTCAACCTCTCCCCCCCGCCCGCACACACACACACACACCTTGCATTCCACCCCGCCCACCTTCATCGGCCAACAGCGACAACGCATAACCAACCATCACCTTCAAACAAATAAATAAATAAATAAAAAATAAAATAGAATAAAAATTAGAACGGAAAATATGTGAAATAGTGGGAAGATTCCGTTGATTTTCTATACTGTCAGATCGCCAGTCAAGGGCGTACGAGGCGGGGAATCTTTAACCTTCCTAAAGGTGGTTACCAGGCGAATCTTCACGATATTGTCCGATATCAGAACGAATATTCTCTTTCCGTTTCTTTCTCTTTCTCTGTTTTTTATATTTTGTCCATTCTTTACCAGAAATGACAACTTCGTCTCCAATTAGCCCAAAGCAGTAATCTTTCTTGTCACTTGATTTTTCACTCATTTTTTTTTTCTTATTCTCTTTCTTTATGTATTTTAAAAGTTCTTTTAACTATCAAAGACTTCGGGCGATATTTTTTTTTGTTTTTGTTTCATTCATTACATATTTCTTCTTTTTCCAACGAGTCTTTCTTTCAGTTCGGCTCTAATCCTTTATGTTTTTAGTTTTTATTTTGTTTCTCTATATCAAATCTGTATCTTTTTTTTTTTTTTTTTTTTTTTTTTTTATAGCTCAATGAGACTTTTTGTTGTACACATATCCAGCCGCCACTGGTCACAATTTTAATACCACTGGTCTCAATTCTCATTTCTTTCTTTCATTCTTTCTTTCTTTCTTTCATTCTTTCTTTCTTTCTTTCTTTCTAAGACCATTTGACCCGATTCTTCTTTCTTTCTTTCTTTCTTTCTTTCTTTCTTTCTTTCTTTCTTTCTTTCTTTCTAAGATCATTTGACCCAATTCTCCTTTCTTTCTTTCTTTCTTTCTTTCTTTCTTTCTTTCTTTCTTTCGTTCGTTCGTTCTTTCTTTCTTTCTTTCTTTCTTTCTTTCTTTCTTTATTTCTAAGACCATTTGATCCGATTCTTCTTTATTCTTTCTTTCGTTCGTTCGTTCGTTCGTTATTCCATTCTTTCTTTCTTTCTTTCTTTCTTTCTTTCTATCTTTCTTTCTTTCTTTCTAAGACCACTTGTCCCGATTCTTCTTTCTTTCTTTCTTTCTTTCTTTCGTTCTTTCTTTCTTTCTTTCTTTCTTTCTTTCTTTCTTTCTTTCTTTCTAAGACCACTGGTCCCCATTCTTCGTTCTTTCTTTCTTAAGAGTATTATTTATTTTTTATTTATTTTTTCTTTACGATTTTTCTTATTTTTCTTTGTTCTCCTCTATAGCAACGTGATCGAGATCATTCATTCATTAATTCGTTAATTCATTATTTATTTATTTTTAGCGGATTATTTCATTAATTTTTATTTTCTTTTTTTACGATGTTTCTCATTTTTCTTCGTTTCACTTTATGAAAACAGTTTTCGGTCATTCATTCCTTCTTTCTTTCTTTTTTCTTTTATTTATTTATTTGTTTATTTTTTAGCTCTATATTTCTTCCAATTTTCTTCCCTTTTTCCTTTCGTCTTTTGAATTCCCATATCTTACTTTCTTTCTTTCTTTCTCATCTAAATATGTAATACCACTCATCCTCAATTTTCACTTTTTAATTTTTTTTTTCTAATTCTTTCTTTTTCTTCCTCGCATGTTTTGTTTCCTTTTCTTCAAAATCTGTCTCACTTCTTTCTTTCTTTCGTATTATTCTTCCTTCTATCCTTTTTTTCATTCATTTCAATACGTTTTCGTTTCTTTTGTTTATCTCACACTTATTTCTTGCCATTATTTTCACCTTTCCCGATAAATGGATTTATTTTATAAAATTCATGTTTTTGGTAGCAAACACGATGATTTTTTTTTTATTCACTTCTTCTTTTTTGTCATTCATTCATTTCTAGTTTACTTCTTTCTTTTCTTTCTTCAGTTCTCATTCATTCCAATTTTTCTTCGTGACATTCTCAGTTTTCGACTCCGTTTCTTTCTTTTATAAATTCATTGAGTTTTACATTACTTTTCATAGTTTTTTCTTCCTCATTCATGTCCTATTCTTTTTTTCCTTTCTTTCAACTTAAGTCATTGATCTTTTCATTCTCTTTCTTTCTTTTGGCATCTTTCATTTCTTTTTTTTCTTTCTTTCTTTCTACTGAATTCATTAATCTTTTCATTTCCTTTCTTTCTTTCTGACATGTCTTTCATTTTTCTTTCTTTCTTTCTTTCTTTCTTTCTTTCTCATGAACTCTTTGAGTTTTGCCTTACCTTTCATTGTTTTGGCTTTTTCCTTAATCTCCCATTCTTACTTTCTTTCTTTCTTTCTTTCTACTTAATTCATTAATCTTTTCATTTCCTTTCTTTGTTTTTGATATGTCTTGCATTTCTTTCTTTCTTTCTTTCGTTCTTTCGTTCTTCCATTCTTTCTTTCTACTGAATTCATTGATCTTTCCATTTTTTCTTTCTACTGAATTCATTGATCTTTCCATTTTTTCTTTCTTTCTTTTTGACATGTCTTTCTTTCTTTTTATTTCTTTCTTTATTTCAAAATCGTTATCTTCTGTTTATTTTACTTTCCTATTTTGCTGCCAACATTTACTTACATATTTTTTCTGTGTCCTCTTATTAATTTATTTGATCTATACATTCTTCTTTGTTCTTTCTTGTCATCGTAATGCCGTTTTTATTACAACAACCATTTGATACACAAAAACCTATCACGGACATGTTCAGGGCCTTTTACAAATTATGTTCTCTTTTCAATCACTAAACTAGTGGACGCGTTTACTTCCTTCAAATCTCTTTAATAGTCCTTTTCAGATCTGGCTTTTTTCTTGCTTTCTTTTCATTATCTCTTTTCAAAACTTTTCTCGTTTCTTTTAACTAGTTTTCCTTTATCATTTCTTCATTCTGTTGGACCCACCTTTTTTTTACCACTTAATCCTCAATAGCTTCAAATAGTGAATATTTCTTCAAACTACGTCCGCTTTTTTGCCATAGCGACAACACAGTAGCAGAATTTCTTCGTTTGAAAAGTTTCCTTCTTTTTCGTTTATTTCTTAACAAGTTATCTATATTTATTTTCTTTCTTACCTGTCTTTTACTTTTTCTTCGTTATTGTTTGTATATTTTTGTCTGTCACATTTATTGTTGTTCTGGTTTATTTTTCTTCTTTTATCTTTTTTATTCCTTTTTTCTTTCTTCTTTAATTTTTTTTATGATTCGCTTTTTTCTTTATGTTTCTTCTTCTTTATTTTTTTCTTCTTTTATTCTTCTTTTAATTCTCCGTTATCTATATCTTCTACTTTATATTTGCATTCTTTGTTTTCCTGACTTCTTATTCTCTATTTGTTTTCTTCTGTTCGTGTTTCATATTTTTCTCTTTTAGTTCTTCTTCTTTATCTTTCTTCTTTATCTTTTCGTTTTCTTCATTTTGCTTTATTTCTTTTACTTATTTATCATTCTTTTTCTTCTTCTTTATCTTTCTTCGTATTCTATTTTTTCTTTCTTTTTTCTTTTTCTTTTTTTTTTTCTTACCCTCTTCACCATTTAATACTTCGCATCTTCTCTTTCACTTCGCCTATTTCTTCTACTTATTTATCGTTCTTTTTCTTCTTCTTTATCTTTCTTCGTATTCTATTTTTTCTTTCTTTTTCTTACTTTTTCTTTTTCTTTCCTCCCTCACCATTTACTACTTCGCATCTTCTCTTTCACTTCGCCTATTTCTTCTACTTATTGATCGTTCTTTTTCTTCTTCTTTATCTTTCTTCGTATTCTATTTTTTCTTTCTTTTTCTTACTTTTTCTTTTTCTTTCCCTCCCTCACCATTTACTACTTCGCATCTTCTCTTTCACTTCGCCTATTTCTTCTACTTATTGATCGTTCTTTTTCTTCTTCTTTATCTTTCTTCGTATTCTATTTTTTCTTTCTTTTTCTTTCGCATCTTTTTTTTCTTTTCTTTTTGCCTCTTCACCATTTACTACTTCGCATCTTCTCTTTCCTTCGCCTATTTCTTCTTTCTTCTACTTATTGATCGTTCTTTTTTTTCTTCTTTTTTCTCTTTCTTCGTATTCTATTTTTTTTTTTCTTTTTCTTACTTTTCTTTTTCTTTCCCTCCCTCACCATTTACTACTTCGCATCTTCTCTTTTCACTTCGCCTATTTCTTCTACTTATTGATCGTTCTTTTTTCTTCTTCTTTATCTTTCTTCGTATTCTATTTTTTTTTCTTTTTCTTACTTTTTTCTTTTCTTTCCCTCCCTCACCATTTACTACTTCGCATCTTCTCTTTCACTTCGCCTATTTCTTCTTTTCTTATTGATCGTTCTTTTTCTTCTTTATCTTTCTTCGTATTCTATTTATTTTTCTTTCTTTTTCTTACTTTTTCTTTTTCTTTCCCTCTTCACCATTTACTACTTTTTTCCTTTCTTCTCTTTCACTTCGCCTATTTCTTCTACTTATTGATCGTTCTTTTCTTCTTCTTTATCTTTCTTCGTATTCTATTTTTTCTTTCTTTTCTTACTTTTTCTTTTTTTTCTTTCCCTCCCTCACCATTTACTACTTCTTTCATCTTCTCTTTCACTTCGCCTATTTCTTCTACTTATTGATCGTTCTTTTCTTCTTCTTTATCTTTCTTCGTATTCTATTTTTTTTCTTTCTTTTTTTCTTTTCTTACTATTTCTTTTTCTTTCCCTCCCTCACCATTTACTACTTCGCATCTTCTCTTTCACTTCGCCTATTTCTTCTACTTATTGATCGTTCTTTTTCTTCTTCTTTATCTTTCTTCGTATTCTATTTTTTTTCTTTTTTCTTTTTTTCTTTTCTTTTTTCACCATTTTACTTCGCATTTCTCTTTCACTTTTACTACTTCTTATCTTCTCTTTCTTCGCCTTCATTTTCTTCTTCGCATCGTTTATTGATCGTTCTTTTCTTCTTCTTTATCTTTCTTCGTATTCTATTTTTCTTTCTTTTTTCTTACTTTTTCTTTTTCTTTCCCTCTTCACCATTTACTACTTCGCATCTTCTCTTTCACTTCGCCTATTTCTTCTTCATCCATCTACTTATTTTTTTTCTTTTCGTATTCTACTCTCCTCTTGTACATCCTCATCCGATATTTGTGTTTATTTCTACTTTGCATCTGTCTCTATTCTAAATTCCTTTTTCTTTTTCTTCTTAAATTTCTTTTCTTTCTTTTTTTTTTTTTAGTTTTTCATCTCATTCTTCTTCTTCCTACTTTCTTTTAATTATACTTTTATATATTTTATCTAAATCTTTTATTTCTACAACTTCTCTTTTTATTCGTATTTTTCTTCTCCTTCTCACATTTTGTTCTCTCTATTTTATTTTTCCCTTTTTTAAAATTTTTTTTTCATTTGACTTTTGCTCTACTTCATATTCTACGCCATCTTGACTTTTCTCTTCCCGCTTTTCTTCTTTTTTCCTTCTCCTTCTTCTTTATCTTTTGTCTTTTCCCTCTTTACTCTAAGCCTCATTAATCTTTACAATTTTCTTTCGTTCTTTCTTTTTTCTTTTTTTTCTTTATTTCTTTCTTTCTTTCTTTCTTTCTTTCTTTCTTTTTCTTATTTTGCTCTCAGCATTTGTATTCATTCTTTTATTTCTTCTTTATTTCTCTTTTAGCACGTTTCTACGTTGCCTTCTTATCTATTTTTGCTCTAAGTCTCATTAATCTTTTCACTTTTCTTTCTTTTTCCTCACGTTCATTCTTTATTTCTTTCTTCTGCTTCTTCATTTTTTTTTCTTTCTCGTTCTCAATGTTCTTCTTTCTCCTTCTTTATCATTCCCTTTTGCTCTTGTTCTTATTCAACATTCTACTTTTCATCATCATCATCATCACCATCATCATCATCATCATCATCATCATCTCTCTGTTGCCACATTTCCTCTTCTGTATATTCTTCTTATTTCCTTCTATTTCTTAGTTTTTAAATTCTTCTTTTTCTTCTTCTTTTTCTATTACTACTACTACTACTACTACTACTACTACTACACTTTTTCTTTTTCTTTTTCTTCTTCTTTCATTCTCACTGTGTTTCTTTGTTGCTTTCTCGCCCTCATCCCATCAAATCACCTGCCATGCTTTTATCCGTTTGATATTTATTACCTGGAGATCTTTTTCATCTTTTTTTACTTACTTTGAACACTTTCCTGTCTGGCCCTGTTATATTTCAAAGTTATTTTCTCCACCTATTCGACCCCCTATTATTTTCTCTTTTCCCAGAATTATCAACTTCTTCGACCCAAATCGCCATGTATTTTTTAAAAAACTCCCTTTTCCCTCTTTTCTATCCTTTTCATTAAACCTACCATTCATTTGACGACCATGATTATCGCCTTGTCTTGCTTCCCTATGCGCACACTTTTCTTTTGTAACTTATTCATTTATCACTCGTTAAGGCCTTCACTTGCCAAAATACAAAAGGGTTACAAGAAAGGAAACGAAGTGCATAAAGAAAGTAAGAGGCACACAAAAGAAAAAATATTGAAGGTAACACATCAACCATGGAAGAAAAAGAAAGGGAGGGAAGCCAATATGGCGTCCACGCATCACTGGCCGTCGTTAAATAAATGTCGTTGAGTTAGCGTGACTGTTTCTGGGGCCTACTTTGTTCGCCCGAGTGTGAATCAATTTTGTTCACACTCAATTATTTATTGGGGGAGAGATAGCACTAATTATGTAAACAGAATTAACCACAGATTGGCCAAGAGACAGGGTTTTTCTTTTTCTTAAATAGGGCGTTCAGAATAGAGCAAATATAAAGGAAAATAAACAGAATAATGGGAAATACAAGGAATTGAGAAAAGGTGAAAGAGAAAGACGGTAAAGGAAAATGAAACAGCCGGAAGCTGGATAGTGAGAAAGAAAGAAAAAAGAAAGAAAGAAAGAAAGAAAGAAAGAAAGAAAGAAAGAAAGGCAATCACAAAGAGAAATGATGAAAGACAGAGAGCCAGACAGGCAGGTAGGTAGGCATAATGAAAGAAGGAAATAAATTATTATTACAGACTGGATGAAACAAAAAAGAAAAGTAATCAGACAGACGAAAAGAAAGAAAGAAAAGAAAGAAAGAAAGAAAAGAAAAGAAAGAAAGAAAGAAAGAAAGAAAGAAAGGCAATCACAGACAAACAGAAAGGAAGAAAGACAATTAGAAAGTCAACCAGCCAGAAAGAAAGACAATCAAATAGAGAGACATAAAAAAGAAAGAAATCAAGCAGACAGAAATAAAGAAGAAAACAAAGAAAGAAAGGCAATCAGAGAGACGGACAGAAAGAAAGAAAAAAGAAAAAAATACATAATTAAAGAAAAATAGAAATAAAAAAAATAAGCATGAAAGAAATAAGGTAGCATAAAATGAAATTTTAATATAAAGAAAAAGAAAACGACACCGCTTTGAAAGAAACAGAAATACATACATACAGACACACACACACACACACACACACACACACATATATATATATATATATATATATATATATATATATATATATATATATATATATATGCTTCTATGTAGAGAGAGAGGAAGAAAGAGAGGAGGAGGAGAAAAACTGAAATCAGAAAGAAGGAAAAAGTCACAACATAGAAAAGAAAAGCACAAAAATATTAAGTAAACGAAAAATTCATAGATTTGATGGGCATTAAGATTGGAAGTTTCAGTAAATTTACAATGTCGTCCCGCCTCTCGTTCAATGAGAAAACTTTTTAAAGTTCTAGCAATACCTCCCCTATCACCTGAATTGTCGCGATATCATTAATATGGGAATTACAGATCCCTGCAGGTCGGCTTCTTTGCAATATCTTGGAACAGCTTAGCGCAACCATATTTTCAATACAGTTCTTACTGCTGATAATACCATCGACAAAACACGTGAGCAAGCTTTGTTTTTTTTTAAATCGGAAGTGAAGATACAAATGCTTACGATTAGGACCTGACAGCTGGAATTACCAAAACGCATAATAAAGAAAGAAGGCAAATTTAAATTTAATAGTTACAGAAAACATACTGACAGGAAACATCAAATAATTTACCAAACGTGTGAATGAATGCTAGATCATTCTTTTGCATTTTCGTATATAAGAAAACTACAACACATATTAATTCAATATTTAATCTCCTTCGAAGTACTCCCTTTCTGAAGCTACACAATTTATCCAGCGCCGTTTCCATTGATAGAAGAATTCCTGGAATTATTTTTGGGGGGATAACCAGCAGCTGTCTCGTCGCATTCGATTGGATTTCCTCGACGCCTTGAAATCTTGTTCCTGTCATGTGGGATTTGATTTTTGGATAACGAAAGTCGCAAAGGGGCGAGATCTGTGGAATATGGTGGTTGTCGGACCTGTGAAATGTTGTGCTTGGCCAAAAGCTGATGCACAAGCCATGGTCAAAGATGAGACCTTAGTGGTGTGGTGAGACAACCACTCCCTACACACTTTCTTTACAAGCACTGCTATAAAAAAACGTAAAAAAAAAAGAGCGAGGACATTATACCTTAGTGTCTATGCGAGACAGGGTTCAGCATCAATATATGCCAAGCGGTTTAATTCTGCATAATTTAAGCTCTCTTACGATACCATCAGTCCGGATACTTTTTGATCAGACATCGTATATATATATATACATATATATATATATATATATATATATATATATATATATATATATATATATATATATATATATATAAGTGGACATTGAAATCAACACTCAGAGGCAGCCTGGCGATTGCGTCTAGCATGAAATAGCCTGTCGCCTCTGAGTGTTCACTTTTATATTTATATTTACATACGCTCTATCTCTGATATTGAGCACTTTATCCCATAAATATAGCACACTTTAAAACTACATTTCTTCATATATATATATATATATATATATATATATATATATATATACACAAACACGGTATGTGTGTATACATGTTCATTCACAGACAGACTGTTTCGCTGTATCACAGCTTATCAGTGTGGTCCGGTTGCCTCTAGCTAGGATCGAAACTCGGCCGAATTGGCGTCAGACAGAGAATCTACCTGTAAACCTTGGGGCACGACAGGGATGAAGATGAATTTAAGCGAATTTATTTTTAGATAAACACTCTAGTGACCGAGAAAACTTGATTCGTTTTCATCGATGAGTATTACATTATGAGCAGTAATACTCACTGTTTACAAACTCCTCTTTCTTCCCAGTGAGCTCAACCGAAATAATTATACTGGAGTACATATGTATATATATATATATATATATATATATATATATATATATATATATATATATATATAAAATCCGTAAGTAGTAAGGATAATCAAAATAGTTTTTTTAATATGAAATATTAAAAAGATAGATCAATTGATTAAGCTTTAATGATGTATTGCCTTTTCCTTTGACACACACACACGTGTGTGTGTGTGTGTGTGTGTGTGTGTGTGTGTGTGGAGATACGGTGGAGTAAAGGATAGCACCTTGAATTAAGGAATCAGAGAGCCGAGTTCAAATTCTTGTCGAATCCATCACATTCACTTATTGGGAAAGGTATGAATCCTCTTCTTCTCCCCACCTGAGCTATGGGCACATAGCAAGACAGACCAGGTTCTATATAGCCTTGGGTGGCAACTAGTCTAGAAGGACAGCTCTGATTTCAAAACCTACGGAGGTTCGTTTGGGGACTTTGTGGCACGTAGTGCACTGGGTCTCTGTATTCGACCTTCAAAAAGTCTGGTTGGTTCTGTACAAAGCCTTCACTACTATAATCAATTCTCATGTGCTGGTGTCGGACTTTCCGTTTCCTAGGAACTGAGCTGCTTGACCCTCATACGTCGAATTCTACGGGAGAGTCCTGTATATATATGCATAATCTGTAAACATCTGTTATATTTATGAATCGTGATTTTTAAATCATTCTACAGGAGAGAACCTACTGATTGCTGCTGTTATATAAGACCGGTATTACTGACCCTTCCTCCTGAGAGTAAATGTCCGGTGAGGTCCAGTCTGTTCTGGACATGTTTGGATTGATAATTTCATGTTATTTATATCAGCTTACCTCTTCAGCACTGGCGTATGGCTACTTGGAAGAGGGGTTCGTACTCCAACACCACGGTTGGGAAGTATGTTTAATGGCAACTCTCCTCCTTGACATGGTGGATTTCCTTGTGTTAGATACCAACCTGAAATCATGTACCCTCCCGATATGGTTTTTGTTTTCATCTGATTTATTTCTACTAGATAAATTGCTTTCAATAGGGCTAAAGAGTTCCATATACAAAATATTTTCAAAAGTAAAGTTTAAAACGTTATTAAGTTGAATTTCGTTAACAAATCTTATCTCAAATGAATGAAAACTCTTTGTAATGTTTGTAAGTACCGAGAAAACTCTCCCACAAAAATTTGAGAAAATACTATTTGAGTAAACATATTTTGAATGAAGTTATGTAGAGAAGCTGCATAAAAGAACACATTATTTACATTATTCGGACTATTGTCCTCATATTTGTCGTCATATTTATTACAACGTTTCGGCCGTTGTACGCTCCGGACTTTTTTAGTATCTGTCTATATTTCTGAGATGAGGTATTATGTACACTATTTACATTATTCGGACTATTGTCCTCATAGTTGTCGCCATATTTATCACAACGTTGCGGCCGTTGTATGCTCCGACCTTTTTCAGTATCTGTCTATATTTCTGAGATGAGGTATTATGTACACTGTTTACATTATTCGGACTATTGTCCTCATCTTTGTCGCCATATTTATTACAACGTTTCGGCCGTTGTACGATCCGGCTTTCTTCAGGTGGTTGAAATGTCGAACCGAATCCTTTATTTCGCTCACTGGGGTAGACTGTTCTAGTTCCACGTGCCATGTCTAATGGATATCAGTTATCAGTTACCTCCTAATAATAAAAGAACACGTATTTCAAATTAAACTGTCCTGATTATGTAACGCAATTTATGTTAGTAAATAATACCATGTACGAAAAAAGGTTCTGCACGGAATTATAAGTTCAGCCTCGAGTCTACGAGACTGGCCTTCAATCGATTCTCTGGCTGGGTCTGTCCACATGAACAGCGTTCATTGTTTTTTTTTTCTCCTGATAATCTGTTTTAATTTAGCCAAGCGTTGACCCGAACCTATAACTTGGAGGCATTACGTTTCTATGCGACTCTTTAGCGTGTTAATATTGCTTGGAAAATTTGATATACGAGATCCTTCTATAAAATGCAGAAAATCTTTCTATGAAATTTCTTTCTTTCAACTTATTTTTCATACGTTTTCTTTACTTTCTTTTTGCTTCCATCTTTTTTCTTCAGTTA